CGGGTTCATAGCGAAGTTCCAATCTAGAAAACCACAAAGAAAGTCTTAAAGGAGAACCAGGGACCGAAAGTTAAACAGAGGAAGCATTTTCGGAAGGTGCAAAGGTTTCAGTGGATTACGATGGAAAATAAAAGGACTTTAAGATGCCTAGAAACTGATAGAAGGATCCTGGCTGAGGAAGCATGAAGTCCTAGGGGAAGGAGAATTTCCCGTAAGGGGGAATTCTCATAATTTCCCCTCTGTTACTCCTCTGGTGAAAAGGTTTTCATAGGTTATACTGTCTCTGCTAAAGGGATCAGGAACTTCTGCATCCACTCCTGGCGCAAGTGTTAAAGGTACAAGCGATATCCCTCAATCTGCTCCTGCCGGGGGCCAAGTGGTGCTGGCGGTGAGCTCAGGGGACAAGAAAAGTGGGCTTCACTTAACTGCCCCTTCCTCCAGGGAGTCTCTTTCCACTGGCAAGCTCGGAGGTTTAGGGTTTTACTTCATGCAGCAAGATAATAATCCACTGACCACAATAGCCAATAGTAGCTAGTATTTATTCCTTGTAAAAAATAACAAAAACACCAATTAAAAACATAACTACGATTTATTAAGCCATCACTCCAAGCCAGATTCGGGGCTACACCCTCCACACATCTTTAACTTACTAAATACTCCCGACGTCGCTGTTAGAGATGAGAATCTGAGGGCCAGAGAGGTTAAAGAAAAGCCCCAGGACCGCACCGCCAAACCTAAGAATGATGGTTCAGAAAGAGCAACGTGATGCTGCCCCACAGGGTGGACGGGGACGGAGGGAGGGGCGAGGTCGCTGAGTGCCTGCTCAGCTGGGGGTCAGGGGGAGGGGAGTCCAGCTCTCTCCTCGCCTCCGCCTGCGCTCTGAAGCCCCAAAGGCTCGCACAGCCCTGGCTCTGTTTCTCTAGCTCTCTGCCCTGGATCGGTGAGAATCTCATTTTTGCCCCAACGCGCCATGCGAACGCCTCTCGCTGCGGTCACCAGCAGCCTCCTTTCAGCCAAATCTGATCATACTGAAATTCAGGCTTTGCCTTCCTGGGGACTTCGCCTCCTCAGGGGCTGCATTTTGCCGCCCACCCGCGCCCGCCCCAGTTCCCGCAGCCCCTCCCCCTTCGCGCCCCCTGACCGCACCATTTCCTGGCTCTCTTGCTAGTTTTGTGTCCATCCTACGCCCCGTGCTGTGGGGCCTCCTTTGAAAGCCCCTTCCCCGCCCAGAGCTTCCTAAATACCGGATTCTGCCTTTGCCCTTTTTCCTTGTAAATATCCTCACTAGGTCACTGCATCCACCTTTTTGGTTTTAACAACCACCTACACCACAATATTCCTCAAATCCTGATTTTTAATCCAGATTTCTCAGTTCTATTCCTACTGAAAACTTCCACAGACATCTCAGATACTTCCTGTTCAAAGCAGAGCTCGTGGAGTTACTTCTCCCGGGATAGTCTATCCTAATGTATGGCAGCCACACCCACCCAAGCCCCCAGTCAGAGCCTTGGGTCACCACTCACCGTGCAGTCACCAAGCCCCTTCGGTCTTTCTGCCCTGGGTTCCTCCCCTGTCCCTGCTTCTCCATCCCCGCCACTGACTTACTTCCACTTCACATCCATGCACCTGGGACATTCTCTCCAGCCTCAACTTTCTCAGATCTATACCCTGGGCTCTTAGCAGAGACAGCGTTCAGAAATTCGGATCTGATTATGTCACTCACTCGTCAGAGCAAACTGTCCAAAAGCTCCAAGTCTTGAGAATAAGTACCCTTCAGGACCTGTGAGTCATACCATTTAATCCTCAACGTTCCCTAATGATTTTTGCTGAACTGTGTTGTGCCTTCATAATAAGAACACCAAGGGCTGGTCCAGGCACAAAGTTGGCCCTGATGGGGAAAATGCCTGTAGAGGCTCGCTTGGAGAGTGACTGCCCTGGTGAGTACACCAGGCATTGCTAGCCAATAGCATCCCTATCAACAGACTAGGACAAACACAAATGTCAACCCAGAACTCTATGAAAATACTCATCATGAATGTATGCGAAGTAAAGGTATCCTCAATGAAGTAAAACTAAAAGGAACCGTTGTCAGTCCCATGCACCGAAACTAATGGTAAAAGAAGCTCTTTAGGCAAAATGGAAATGATATCAGAGGAATCTAATACTTTAGGAACAAAGGAAGAGCAAAAGAAATGGCATATATCTGGGTAAATATAACAAAAGGAGATGATTTTTCACCTAAGTTCTGTAAAATATGTATGTCAGTTGAAAGCAGAAGTTATACGACTGTCCGGTAGAATTTTCGATGTGTGTGGATACAATAAATGTGTAAATTATAAGGGAGGAGGAATGGACGTATATGGGTGCAAGTTTTCTGCTTTGCACTTGCAGCAGTAAATAGTAGTTCTAAGTAGACTGTTAAAAGTTAAGTTGCGGGCTTCCCTGGTGGCGCAGTGGTTGAGAGTCTGCCTGCCGATGCAGGGGACATGGGTTTGTCCCATGTGGGTCTGGGAAGATCCCACATGCCGCGGAGCGGCTGGGCCCGCGAGCCATGGCCGCTAAGCCTGCGCGTCTGGAGCCTGTGCTCCGCAACGGGAGAGGCCACAACAGTGAGAGGCCCGCGTACCGCAAAAAAAAAAAAAAAAAAAGTTAACTTGCATATTGTAATCCCTCGCTCAACCACTAAACATACTGTTCAAAAAGATACAAATGGCCAATAGATAAATTCAAATGGAATACTAAGTAATATTCAAAGAATAGAAAAGATACCATGACAAAGAAGATAGAAGAAAAACAAAGGGATCAAACAAGATAAATAATGAAATTGTAGAACTATATCCAACCATGCTCATAATTACATTAAGTGTAAATGTTCTAAAAATATCAATCATACTGAATTTAAAAAACCAAGGAAACATGCAACCATATGCCAGAAACACTATCAGAAATCCACTTGGAATGTCATTGATATAGATATGTTGAAATAAAAGAAAAACAAACAAAAAAATGCAATGAAAATACTAATTAAAAAAAAACTAGAATAGCAATATTAAAGTGAAAAAACATAGACTTCAGAGCTAGGAAGAGTGCTAGGGAAAACAAGAGACACTCCATAATGTTAAAAGGGTCAATTCACTAAGAAAATAAATCTATGTTACCTGCCATATTAACAGACTGAAAAGAAAAAGCATATGATCATCTCAATAGATGCAGAAAAAATTTTTGAGAAAATTAAATATTCTTTCACAATAAAAATTCCCCAGCAGATCAGGAATAGAAGGAAACTGCTTTAATCTGATAAAGAAAATCTACAAAAATCCTACAGCTTAAAACATACTTAATGCTTTTCCCCTAAGTTCAGGAAAGAGGCAAGACTGTGCACTTTTGTCACTTCTATTCAACATAGTTATTTCTGGGGAAGGAAGGAAGGAAGGAAGGGAGGGAGGGAGGGTGGGAGGGAGAGAGAAAAAAGAAAGAGAGAGGAAAGAAAGAAAGAAAGAAAGAAAAAGAAAGAAAGGAAGGAAGGAAGGAAGGGGAAAGAAAAGAAGAAAGGACATATACAGAATGAAAAAAAAGAAATACAACTGTTCATATTCACAGAAACATAACTGTTTATGTAGAAATTCTCAAGGAATCTACAAAAATCTCCAAGAATAAATGAATTTAGCATGGCTGCAGGATACAAAGCCAACATACAAAAAAAAAAAAAAAAAAGGCCAACATACAATACTTAACCATATTTCTGTACACTTGAACAATTATAAATTGAGCAACAGTAAACTAAAATTAGTAAAACAGTACCATTTACAATAACGCCAAAAGGAAATACTTAGGAATAAATAAAACAATATATGTACAAGATTTACATGCTAAAATCTATGCAATACTGATAACAGAAATCAAAGAAGACCTAAATAATTGGGGAGATATGGTGTGTTCATGGGTTAGAAAAATTATGATAATAGAGATGATATATCGATTCTCCCCAAAGTTATACATAGGTTAGCTCAGATGCAATCAGAATCCAAGCAGCGCCTTTTTAAATACACATAAGCTGACTCTAAACTGATATGGAAAAGGAAAGGAAATAATGGAACAGCCAAAACAACCTTTTCAAAGAAGAATAAAGTTGGAGGACTCACACCACCAGCAATCAACACGTGATACGGGTGGAGCCACGTCGGGGAGTGGGATGCGCCTGGACTGGAAACGTCCCCCAAGCAGGCAGCTGGGGCTCTGTATTCACTAGCTCGCTCGCTCGCACTCAGTTGCGCTCTCTCCCAGCTTCTTCCACCCCTGTGCTCCCGCACTCCCACCTGGCTCACGTGCTTTGCGCAGGCTCCCTCTTCCAGGCAGGCCTCTGAGGTCCACACCTCGTGCTTCTGTCACACGCCCCGCCCAATTCCCTCACAACCCTCCCGCTCCCCCCACCCCTCTCCCATTCTAGTACCAGAGTGTGGTATTAGCAAAAACATCGACACAGAATAGAGTCCAAAGATAGATTCGTGGTAAGATGATCAATTGTTTTCTGACAAACTTGAAAAGGCAATTTCATGGAGAAAGATAATTTTTTTAAGAAATGAACAATGGTGGACAGATTGACGATGAAGAAATATAAGAGAATTTGGGGAAATGATGGAAATTTTCTTATTCTTATTGCGGTGCAAGTCACATGGTTCTATGCATGTATTAAAACTCATGTAACTGTACACCAAGAGGAAGTAAAGTTTCCTGTACATAAGTTTTTAAAAAGCAGTTGCACTGTCGTCCGTGAAACAGTAATTGCATAATGGAAAGGATCCGGAGGAAAAGTATCCAACCCCACCTCTGCTTCTTCAAGCCTGCGAGTGTGAATATTTTGATAGTTCTACCCTCATTTTTTAAATCTAAGAAGCAGTAACATTAATACCTTTCTCAAAATGTTGGTGTGAGTGTTACACATGAGGTAATGTGCATAAAATATTTTGTGTCGTAAAAAAGCATTACATAAGTACTGAATATAATTGTGATGAAACATGCATCAGAAAAAAATTTTTAAAGAATCTTGAATTATTTATTTAAAGGGTATATTAATTAAAATCCAAGCAGGAAAGATGCAACACACTCAAACTGGGTAATTTTAGGAGAGCATAGGTAAGCGAATATTTAAAGGTTGTGGGTAGGGTGCAGGGAAACCCTGAGGTACAGCAAAGTCCCTGGGGTAGTTAGCAACGCTGACAGGGGTTTCTCGAGGTAATGTTGATTCTGTCATACTTACATTTGAAATCTAAAAGTCACTACTAGTAGCAGGGGGACAGAGGGGGGGAATAAAGTTAATTAACAGGAAGCAAAGCTCTGGGAGCCCCAATTCTATAGCTGTTCATGAAGCGTAAGTTGGTGTAGAGCTCCATATTCTCACACCCAATCTTTGCTCTCTGTCTTTTCCTGCACTGTAGCTGTGTGGGACTGTTTGCCCAGCAGGATGCATCAAACCTTTATTCTTTTGGTATTTGAATCCTTGCAGGTCTGATTTTTGGGTAGGCCGCAGGTTTTCACAGACCAGCACTTTTCGACGAGGCAGTAATAAGAGACTCCCCAGTAAAGCGCTGACCCAGGCATGGTCCTCCTCGTGTAAACTGTATAACAGAAACGTAACTTTCCTTCAGTAACTGAGATCGACCCCACAGTCATCACAGCCACACCCTCTTCTCTCTCTGTTGGTTCAATAGCCGAAGAAGCCGAAACGGCCAGGAGATGGTCTCAGCTTCCAGCTCAAGGAAAGGACGGTCATATTCCTGGGTGGACGAGTTCCTCCCTAGGGGTCAGATCCTACACACACACACACACACACACACACACACACACAAGTCCAAGGTGTGGGAAGGAATCGAACATTCTTCCAGTGGGCTAACAGCTAGGACAGTGAGAGGGGCCATTCCCACCTCTGGGTCCATGGTGGATAACACCGTGTGTTTTCCACTCGTACAGAGCATTTACCACACGGGTAAGTGTGCAAACTCACCCCCAACTCTCCCATAACTGAACCCGCTGTGGGCCACGCAAGATTCTACCAGGCCAGGTGCTTCTGGGATGTGGGACCCCATAGTCAGCTAGGGCTGCCATAACAAATGCTGTAGGACAGATCAGGAGGCTGGAAGTTCAAGACCCAGGTGCTAGTGGACTGGGCTTCAGGGGAGGGCTCTCTCCCCGGCTTGCACACTGCCCGCTTCTCTCTGTGTCCTCGCATGGCAGAGACCAGAGAGGCAGAAAACCAGCTCTCTCCTCCTTGCAAGGGCGCTGATCCCATCAGGAGAGCTCCTCCCTCGTGACCTACTCACCTCTCGAAGGCCACATCTCCCAGCACCACCACACTGGCCATTATAGTCTCAACATATGAGTCTGGGGACCTTGGTAAGAACCAGAGAACCACAGTTGAGACCCACTGTCACATGTCCTTTGCTGCCCACTGCGTCCCCTGTAGTATGTCAAAGAATAGAGATGCTTACAGGTCAGGGAGTCAAATCCACAACTGAAATGTGAGTCCATCGACAAAGAGCAGTGGATTGGGGTCTAATACGTCCAGGAACCCTGAGCCCAGGGGCTCACCGCATCGCTTTTCTCTTGCACGCCCTCCTGAGCTCCAGCATCAGACTACTTTTTTTCACTTTTTACATCTTTTTTTGATAAACACAACCAGGAATCATTATTATTTTCATAATATGATGGATGAGAATAAAAGGTTATCTTTGATTTATGACATTTGATTTTATCTTGATTTTTTAAATTTAATTTTATCTTGAACTTGAATACTGAGATATTCTCTTTTGATGGCCATATACTTGACGTGTATTTCTACCTGTCACATCCCGCCTATCAGCCTCTCACTGTGATGACCCTTGGGAAGATGTGAAGTTATGAGTCGCTAGTTCTGTGAAGTTTAGTGATGGCTGAAAACCTAAACCCCCGTAAAAATCAACACAGAAACATCAGCCGGTAAATAAAATGTAGTTTCTCATTACCTGTGTCTAGTCCTCTCGAGAACAAAGCTGCCCGCTAAATCACAGGGAGCTGGAATTCGACCGGCATTCCATTACACAGGGCCTCCCCCGGAAACCAGGCCGCAGGCACAATAATAAAACAGAGCCAACTGTACAGGAATGAGAGAGCAAGGAGTATGAGGCCATCACCGCTGCTGCCTGGTTGTATTTCCTGTTTTATTTGTATGGAAACTATTCACACCATAGAAAACATTCATGAGGAAGCAACTTCCCTTCTGTTGCTTCAACAGAAGACAAGATAAAATTCAAACTCACAAATTAGGTCATTACCTTCCTGATGGAGCTTCATCACTGAGGAAATGAATATCAAGGTTTTTAACGATTTGTAAGAAATGCAAAAAAAAAAAGTAGACATCAGTGTTTTGATTGCAATAAACCTGTGATTAACCTTTCAAGACAGGGAACCAACAGCTTGTGCTAAAAAAAGGGGCTCCAGATAGAAACCATACTTCTCACCCAGCAGGACGCTTTCCATTAAAATAAAATGTTCAATATTCCTGCACACATTAGCTTTACTAATTGAGACTAATCTAATGCAGAAACACAGATCTCACAGGCTTTTACCGGCTGGCTAGCAGCATGTGTCTGTAAACAGGTGGCACAGTGGTCGGCCCACCTGGAGACACACATCAGACCTTGATGAACAGTGTTTGCTCTCATTTGCATTAATGGCCTCTGACGTCAGTGTTTCACACTCCACTGCTGGCCTTCTCAGTGGGTATGGATGCCAGCTGCCCTCGGGATGGCTTGCCATTTGTATTAAGTATTCATCACGGAGATAAACAGTCAGGGCCTGGCACAACAACACATTGTGGATTTGGAGAAATCCCAGCAAGTCCCTGGGGGTAGAGTGGAAAGGAATGTAAGGCTTTTGCTTTCAGGAGATTCAGCCCGTCTTTGCAAAGCCCCTGGGGTCCTCATTTCAGCTGGCGCAAGTGGAGACAACTGTTTACATCAAGTTGTGAAACGTACCCTGTTCTACCTACACAGACGTTCGGTGTCTATTCATTTATTCCACAAATACTCTTCAGTTTCTACACGTATCAGGCACAGCTCAAGAAAGTGCCCCCGCGTAGCTTCTAATGCCAGTGGGAAGAACCGATGATAAAACAAATAGCTCCACCTCGACATAACGTCAGGCAGGACATCCCTGGCCCTTCACGGGAAGTGGGTGTCTTAAACAGGCTCAAACCAAAGTACAGTGGAGACTCCCCCTCACGGTCGAGCTTCGTGTGGGTTTACAGAAGAGGGGGGCAAACAGGGAATTCCAGACCAGACCTGAAAGTAAAAAGAAAGGGAAACAGAATAGAGAAAAGGAGAAAGAACAATTAAAATGAAAGGAAAAGAGGGAACATGAACATGAGAAGCAAAGAGGGAAAAATAAGTGAAAGGAGGGGAAGTGACCCCTGTAAATGGGGCAGGAACACAGTACCCATGACTGGGGCCCAAGATGACTCTGTTCACCAAGACCTTCGTGAGGTGGACGACCTGCACACACATGCACGCACACACACACGCATGCACGCACACACATGCACACGCACACACACGCACACACACATGCACGCACACACACCCAATGATGAATATGAAGTGGACCTTTCATGTCACACAATGAATTTGCTTTTTCCTGCCTTCAGGTACTGTTGTGCAAACACCCCTTGTACGGAAAAGTGTGTGTGCGTGACATCGGATTTGATGCCTGCTAGCAGCCTGGGAACCGTATCAACGGATCTGCTATGTATACAGGGCAGGCAGAGAGACTCCCATCGCGTTTAGAATCTTTAGAATTGTTTAGAATCTCTCCAGAGATGCTGACCTGCAGCTCTGTAATTTTCTTGTGTTTAACATGAATGAGTAACCTTACTTGTGCTGTGAATGGAAGGCGTCAAGTCAGGGTGAAGGAAAGCCATTTAGGCAAAACTCAAGTAATCAATCTGTGGTCAGAGGTCTCTGTCAGCCTTCAGGAGAAAGAGGACATTCATTCACTCAAAATTGCAACAAATATTAACTCTGGGCCGCCCTTATGTCAGGATCAGGGTTCAGCTCTTGGGATAGGAGAGCTGAACAAGACTGGCCAGGCCTCTGCCCCACGAGCCCCGACCCTCCGTGCTGTCACCCTCCCCGACCTCTTAGCAAGGATCCAGCCACAGGAAAAGGGGGCGTGGCCTGCGAGGGTCAGTTTTGAATCGGGCTTAACCTTGAAAACGTAAGTGGTGAGGCCTCTTCTTCTTCTCTTTCTCCCCCTTATACTTTTTATTCCGGCAGGATGGATGTGGGGGCTGAAGCTCCTCCCTGGGGGCCACTCCAAGCACTGGTGGGAAGAGGTCCGTCCTGCTCTCGGCCGCTCTCCCTTCCTTTTCTCTGATGCGGACTCTCCTCCATGGTAGGTATTACAGCTGGCATGGTCATCAGGGAGGTGTGGTGATGGCATCTCGATGGGGAGACCCAGGGATGCCCGGATCCTGCTGTGACCTGACTGCCCCTCCCTCCCTGCCCTGCACGCACCTGTGTAGGTGCAGAGAAGAAGCCAGGCCGTGCACATCTCAGCTTCCAATCCCAGGCACTCAGGGGCCCTTCGTAATCTCCACATTTTTCACAGACTCACAGTGATCGCAGCAGTGGCGTTTTCGTCATCTGTTGATTGAGAAAAAAACCTTCATGTGAAAATTTTTGAGACGTGTTCAATAATTCTTCTTAAAATGCTTAAATTATCAAGCACAACGGTCTCTGCACATTCAGAAATCGCTCCGCATATGGGAAGAAAAGCTGTGTGTTCGGTCTCCAGGTTGTGCAAGGTGCACACTTCGGGGGCAGACGCCCGGCTTCACGTCATCCACAGCCCCAGGGTTTCCACCCGCAGGTCTCCAGCTCACCAGGTCCATGTGGTTAGACTGGACTAATTTCCCACTGGTACAGGAGACTCCTGCTTTATCCCCAGATGCTCGGCATCATGAAGACACCTCAGTGCTGTCCCCTCCTCTGCGAACAAAGGAAGACTGTGGCTTTGCAAGAGGCTCATGGGGCCAGTTGAGGGTCCATGTCCCTGGTGAGGACATCCCGGAGAGGACAGGACAGCCACTTCCACCCTCAGAGCAGAGCCGAGAGACAGTGTGCTCTGGGCGGGGCCCATGGGTGCTTCTTTAATGTTGATTTGGTCAGAATTGCTATGGAATAACTGACCCACCCCCCAAGGGGAGAAAAACAATTTGATCATCTTTCAAGAGAACTGTGTTTTCTTTCCTTTGATTACCCAAACAATGACCTGTTCTGTTAAGTGTGTGTGGGAGGGAGCCTTTCTTCTCCCCAAGGAAGTGCAAAACCTCCATTCATAAAATAGAAACCATATTTTCACATTTCCCCTTTATCCTTAAGGGAAAGAAGGAAGGAAGGGAAAATCTTATCTATTCCTTTGGTGAGGCATGAGGCATTTCCTTATCCCTTGGGGGAAACTGTTGCACACATCAATTTATACTCTGAGCAACTCTGTGAGTCAAAAGAATCATGATTTGTCAAAGACAAATCTTCTAACGCAATACATTTTAAAGATAGGAAAAGCTTCCAAAGATATATACATCCACTTCTGAGAAAGGGATACAGATTAAACCTTCAATCTTTCTTCTGAAGCTCGGGAATAAAACCCACTTGATGAGTAAGTTCTATGAATATGACTTGCCCAGAGTCTAAATACACTGCTGTTTATTCATTCTGTTTTCTTGCCAAGGAAGCATTCTTCTCAACAGAGCAATAAATCTAGCTAATGGCAGGAATGATCCGACGCCAAGTTCAGTAATAATGGCACTGAGCAACACGCACCTTAATTCTCTCCTGACTTGAAAGAAATACATCCAGACGACATTTACTGAGCATCAGCTGTGCACCAGGTTTCAACAGCCGCGGAAATAGGAAGGTAAATAAAACATAATCCCTGGAGGTTTAGGAAAAGCACAGCCTGCCAGGGAAGCACACAGGAGAGGGACCAGGCCAGTCTTGGGACACTGAGGAAGGCTTCTGGGGCAGGGACATCTCAACTGAGACCTAAAGGAAGAGAAGAAGTTGTGGAGAAGCTAAGCCAGTGCCCCTCAAAACAAGGACCACCCCCCATGCCAAGCGCTGTAGTTATCATGGTGAGAAAAGTACAAAACAGAGAGAAGGCATTAGGAAGCCTTTCTAGCATCTGAACTACCCTGACATCCAAGCATGAGATCAGTAGGCTTATATTTTATGGCTTTCTGTTTGTTCTTTTCTAATAGTTCTTTTCATTGTATTTTACAAAAAGTATTAGTCTGCAATGCCTTGGAAATTTGGTCCTTCCAGCTTCCAGTTGAGCACTGTTTCTCCCTCAAACAATTTCGTTGGCTCAACACGACTTAGAAAGATGTCCACGACCCTGCAGTTGTTTCCCTTCCCTGCTCACGAACAAAGCTTTCAACCTGTTTCCCGCGGCGACCTGCGCGAAAGATGACCGCGGCTTGCGCTACCCAAAAGCACGCTCCTCATTTTGATTTCTGACCCCTTCACCCCCAATAACGCTTGCTAGGATAATTCTCAGTCCCCAGATTTTGGAAAACTTTCATGAGGATTCTTTTCTTTCCCCTTTCTGCTCATTTCAAACTAAATCAGGGAAGATGAGGACTGCAGTAAAGCTCGGCCATGGTGACTGGAGCTCCCTGAAAGCCGGCTGCCTCTGGGAGTTCACGCCGCAGCTGGTTTCCTTTGTACTCCATCCCCCACCTGGAGCTCCAGGTGGCAGGGAGGTTACCAGCTGACGCAGCAAACACACAGCGTGTACTCTGATTGTAAAACTTTCTAAAGTGCAAACATCTCCTGCAAGTGCCCGGACGGGAAGCTTTTTTTGTTTTGTTTTTTCAAATGTATTCCAGTCATCTGAGAAGCAAACTCCCCATGAGTTTGCCTGTGGTGATAAAAGGGTTTGAGTCTGTTGCATGAGGGGAAGACCATACGCACAGCTTCTCTGAAGGAGGCAACGAACAGAGTTACATTTCAGGGAATTTCAAAGAATGTTCCTGCGAGAAAAGGTATTAGGGATCGTCTAAGATTACCTGCGTTATTTTATAAAACTAATTTGAAAATAAATCTTCCCTTCTGCTCCCTTCCTCAACATACTATGAAATCAGCATGCTCAGCCTGGAATCCATAGTTTTATCGCCATTTCTTTACTGTCGGGACTACAATGCCAGTACGAGAGGGGTGCCAGGAGAAAAATTAGCACTGGGAGATGGAAACGTTCTGACCTACTGCCGAAGTAGATGGGTGCCACCAACTCCATTTAATCAGATGACTTTCTTCCAGGTCAGTTTTGACCTTACCTTGCTTTGTCTCAGCCTTGATGTCATACATCACACTCACTGCTTCAGCCAGTTTATGGGATTTCTTTCTGCTTCTGAATATCTCATTTAAAAGATATTTAAATCTAGGACTACCGCCTTCATATCTGAGATAAAAAGTTAGCTAATTCAAATAAATTGGCATGAATTTTGCCTCATTTTCCAGATTTTTGCTTTTAATATTTTCCTTTTTTCTTTGGCTTCAAAAATCTGTTATACTTGGGTTCCTTAGTTGTATTGACTAAAAAATTAAATGCACAACCTAAAAGTTGAGAGTTATGCTTTATTCAGCGGGAATGTTTAGGACTTCAAGCCTGGGAAGCAACATCTCAAGGAACCCTTAGAGAACTGCTCCCAGGAAGAGAGGGGGGGGGCCCAGGTTATAGAGAAGTTTTGCAACAAAGGGCAGGTAGTCAGAACATCAAAAGATTATTGTTAATTAAAGGAAACCAGGTATCTCAAGTTAAGGAATGTAGCGCATTTCTCTGTATGGGAAGATGCAAGAGTCTGGGCTCACTGAAATCATTCCTTTGATGTGCACCTCAGCCACCTGGGGCCGTGTCCTGTGCTTTCACATCCTGAGTTCCCTCAGGGTTTTCCCATCTTGAGTTTCCCCAGGGCTCACCTTGGGGAGTGGCTGCAGTGTGATGGCTGCTAGGTGGCAGGTATTCTTTCCCTTCCTGAGTTCCCTCAGGGCTCACCAGCTCACCATCAGAGGTGGCTGCGATCTCCAATGACTGTGACGTCCTTTGTTTACTGATATGGCAGGAAATATTCCATTTCTCAGTTGATTTGATCATTAGCTGATTAGAATAATTATCTTTCATGTCTGAAATATAACAAATTGTTAATGGTAAACGACGCATTTTTCAGGTCACTCATTGGCAATGTCTTCATCCTAGGTTGGAGCTGGACGGTTCAGAGGACGCAGCGAAAGCCGACTGACCCGGCTTCCCCCGGACCACGATCTCCCTCCTCCTCGTTTCCCCCCTCCAAGATTCAAACATGCTGCTCCCCAAGCACTGCATTCCTTTCCTAAAAAACAATAGTTAATGTCGACTGGAAAACAACGCACAAGATGAGAGCTGTGAGTTAAGTTTTATTTGGGGCAAAATGAGGACTGTAGCCCGAGAGACAGACAGCTCCAAAGAGGCAGGGGGAAGGTCAGGGTATGTGTGATTTTGTGAAGGGGGGATTCTGCTGTCTCTTGAAAGTTGCTGCTAGTCACAAGGAACAGACGTCACTATGAAGGATCTTAGTGCTTTTCTAGATAGGAGGAGATACAAGAATTGGGCTCATAAAATTGTCTCCTGAAAATATTTAACTATCTGAGGACCTGTTCTGCCAGTTTTTCCCAGAGCACAGAGGACCTCATTCCTGCTCTCCACCCTGAGCTCCTTGCAGGGGGTGTTGAAGGTCAGCTGCTGCAGGGGCTCATGATTTAATCCTCGTAGAGGCAGATGGCAGGTGCCAATTTGTAGGTGACATTAATAACAGGATTGAGACAAATCAGTGAATGTCGTGGAAAAATGAACTTACTTTCATTAATATTTTGTGATTTATGAAATTAATAATTATTGTAGAGTGTCCTGTAGTTCACAACGTCCACTCATGCCTGTTATTTCATTTACCTTCAGAATAACTGTATGAACCTGTCTTATAATCCATGTGTATGCTCCAGTTTTGTCCAGAAACCAAACACAGAATTTCCCCTTCGTGATGCAGATTCTGAGCATGTGTCTTCCACGTGACCTGCTTCCGCGGAGGTTTAAAGCCAGAGTGGCTGCACCTTTGCTCTCTGTCACCTGTGACACAGCAGGTCAGTTCTGGGGTTACCTGGGGCTCCAGTTATGTATCTGGTGGTCTGGACACAAGTACAGAAGCGTTCTGATTGTTTGCCACCAGCCCATTTTCAAATTGCTAAACATCATTTCCTTTTGAAAATTTCACCCGCTTATGGTGTTAAATAATACTATTCGTTGTGAAGTAGCAGTGGGAGAGGGCGGTGGATCTCCACCAGACGCACAGCAGAAACACTTGGATGGGAGGCGTTTTGTTAAAATGACAGTGTCCAGGCCCCACTCCAAGCCAAATAAATCAAAATTGCTGAGGGTGGAGCCTGGTGCTGGTCACCTTTCTAGAGGCTCCTCCCACCCTGGTATTTCCAACATGCAGCCAGGTTGAGAACCACTGTGCAGAGGAAAGCTCTCTCACTTTGCATTCAGAACACCTGGGTTTGAAATCTGTGTCTGCTCTAACCTGTGCTATGATTTGGGGTAATTTAATCATTTCTCCAAGCCTCAATTTTCTTGTCCCTAAAAACTGGAAGCGTAGTTTGTGAAGGAGCCCAGCACAATAATGGGCAGATAGCAAGTTTTCAATCGATAATAGCTTCCCTCTCCTGTCCTGTCAGAGTCACAACATTAGAAACATGATTCCTTCTGTCACGCAATCAAAAACATACATATCGGGCTTCCCTGGTGGCGCAGTGGTTGAGAGTCCGCCTGCCGATGCAGGGGACACGGGTTCATGCCCCTGTCCGGGAGGATCCCACATGCCGCGAAGCGGCTGGGCCCGTGAGCCATGGCCGCTGAGCCTGCGCGTCCGGAGCCTGTGCTCCGCAACGGGAGAGGCCACAGCAGTGAGAGGCCCGCGTACCGCATTAGAAAAAACAAAAAACCATACATATCTGCTTAAGTTTTCCAAATAACAAGGCTGTGGAGTTTCCTAGAAGAGAAGATGGGTACTTTTTGCACATATTACATTCACATATGATGGGCTACTAGAAACGTGCCCTCAAACAACCAAGTTAGAGTATGATTTGCCCAATGAATGGCAGCTGACCTAGTGCCTAAGCACTAATGCTTAAGAGCTGTTGAAGCTGCCTTTATCAACGGCATACTGAAATCCAAGGCTAAGCAGCATCTTGGACAAGTTCCAAAAATGTACAGGAAGTCCTCACTCGGTGAGAAGGCATCACAAAGCACGTAAGCCTCAGTAACCAGACTGAAACTAAAAAGAGCTTCTAGGCCAAAGTCAAATTTTGAATTATACTCTGACCAACTACCAAGAAGCCCTTATGTGTCTAACTGGAGAGACCACAGAATGTTTTGTCATCCACTATCTCATTCTTATTTTGTTATTTGATATTTATAATCTCTAGCATGAGGGCAAGTTAAATGTCCCAGAAGAGGGAATACACTCAGAAGGTAGAAATACAGGACAGTGATGAAATATACTTATTCTCAGTCCATGGTTAGGAAGTAGGTGATGGTTGTATCTGGGAACGACTACAGTGACTAAACAGATCGATAACATAGTTGAGATGCATGAAAAACGTCTCACCTGCTTGATAAGACAGGGTGACTCCAAGGCCATGGAATACACAGCGACCTGCCTCACTCCAGCTGGTGTTTCCTGATGGACATAACGCTGGTTATTGCATGTTAAACAGCATTCCTTAAAGTTTCTAGAACTTGGACTTTACACTGACTCAGGCTGGCTGTTTTCCCCACCGCGTCCAAGTGCATGAGCCTTTGATGCTGTGATAATTCAGATCACTCAGCTAGTGCCGTGGACTGAATGTTTCTGCCCCCAGAATCCACATGCTGAAGCCCTCGTCCACGACGTGATGGTCTTTGGGTAAGGGTGATTAGGCCATGATGATGAGGCCCTCACGATGGGATTAGTGCCTTTATAGGAAAAGACTCCCAAGAGCTTGCTCTCTCTCTGTCTCTGCCGTGTGGGCACCCAGGGAGAGGGTGTCCACTTACGCGCCAAGGAGAGTGGCCACAGAATGAAACCTACCTTGCCACACCGTGATCCTGGACCTCCCAGCCTCCAGAACTGTGATAACTTTCTGTTATTTAAGCCACCCAGTCTATGGTACTTTGTTGTGGTCGCCAGAGCAGACGGGTACAGAAGGACGAATAGTGACCGGGAAGCAAACAGACTGGAGGGGACCCAGGGGGCTATATGTGACCAGTTCCCCTACCCTAGCTGATGCCACTCAGTGGAATTAATAGAGGTAATTACTTGTTCTTGGATGCACTGCTGCCCGTCCTAAATTACAAACATAACTTTAATTAACATTGGTCATATATTACTTGTGATTACTCCTATCTAGAAGAGACTGTCATAAATGCAGGCAGCCAGGAGTACTATTTGCTAAGCGTACTGCGTGTTTCAGAGAGTTAACAATTAATCATCCACCCCTGTTGTTTATAAAAGGGCCAGCCATCTATCTAAGGTGGGACAACAATTACATACCTTAATAATCGGAACTTAACAATAAAATGCATAACTTTACAACACAGGAAGTCCAAGAAGCTACCTCTTTCTTTCTTCTTTCCTTCCTTTCTTTCTTTCTATATTGAAGTATAGTTGATTTATAATATTATGTTAGTTTCAGGTGGATAACACAGTGATTCAATATTTTTATATTTATACTCCACTTAAAGTCATTATAAAATAACGGCTGTATTTCCCTGTGCCGTACAATATATCCTTGCTGCTTATATATTTTATACATAGTAGTTTGTACCTCTTAATCCTTCACCCCTATCTTGTGTCTCCCCCCTTCTCTCTCCCCGCCTGGTAACCACTAGTCTATTCTCTATGTCTGTGAGTCTGTTTCAGTTTTGTTTTATTTATTTGTTTGTTTTATTTTTTAGACTCCACATATAAGTGGTAACACAGTATTGTCTTTCTCTGTCTGACTTATTTCACTAAGCCTAATACCCTCCAGATCATCCATGTTATTGCAAATGGCAATTTTTCATTCTTTTTTATGACTAATATTCCATTTTATGTATGTATACATACAATATATATTGTTCTATATATATACACACAATATATATTGTTCTCTCTCTCTCCCTCTCTCTCTCTCTCCCTCTCTCTCTCTCTCTCTCTCTCTATATATATATATATAAATA